TTCGAAGCAAATGATGAGCCCTCATTCAAGCCAACCCAAACACATGGAAGATGTGTGAAAAGGGATTTTCGAAGCGAATGATCAGACCTCAATCAAGCTAAACCAACGACATGGAGAGTGTGTGAAAAGGGATTTTCGAAGCGAATGATGAGACCTCAATCAAGCTAAACCAACCACATGGAAAATGTGTGAAAACAGATTTTCAAAGCAAATGATGAACCCTCATTAAATCTAACCCAAACACATGGAAAATGTGTGAAAACGGATTTTCGAAGAATCCCTTAATAGTACCTTTCATTTCGTTTGAAGCAACGAGTAGAATGAACTCAAAAGGATGCGACGGTAGGCCTGTGCTACTAAATCATCGGCTAACTCTCTCGCGGCCCGATGTATCTTTGCTGGGCTTTTGTCCATCATGTGACTGGCATCATCAGAGCAAGACGATATTGTGGTAGGACTCTCCATTTCGAAGGGAAAATTGGTGGGAGGAAATTCGTGATGTGGTATCACCGGAAATCGTAGGAGAATTGCTGCTTAGGGAAGTTGGTTGAATAGTACAAAGAAGTCCTCTGCTCACCGTCCTGCGACCACATCACGAATTCCTTTCCACCAACAGTCACGCCACAATATATTATTAATGAGTTGTGCGAAATCCATTTTTTTTCATAGTTGTTTCACCTTGTTTTCACAACTTGGTCCAAGGCCCAAGGGAATGCAGCTTATCCACAGTCGCACGCTAATCCTCACAATAGCACCGTGAACTTGGTGCATTTCGGGACGTTTCTCCGGTATCCTCAATGAGCCCTCCCATTCTTAGCACCACACCACACCAACGCATCAAAGACAAGTGAAGTCAATTCTATGACTTCTGTTAAATAGTTGTGATATCTCTCATTCTGTTCTAGCGTATTCACATTTACTATATCCTCGTATAACTCCATCACTCACAATTTCTTACTTGTTTATTTAAACCTGGTTCTGGTATGCCATTTAAAGCAAATTCAGTAAGACCTATTCATATTACTCGCTGGCTTCTTCACCCCGTCCTCCCTGTGTTAGGAATGTAGATTTGAGTCCACCTTATTGGTAGGCAATACCCTTTCACTAAGTCCTATCAGACTACCCCTTTTGTTCCGTAAGATCCATCTCTTATCCGCCTGGTTCAGTGATTTCACTCCATCGCTGCCACCATATCCGTCCCACTCGGGACGTCATTTGCTGCACTCTACCTCAAACCCTTGCTATCACGTATACTCCCGCCTCACCAAGTAGACCCACAAAGTCTGGATTCTCAATCAGGAAGAGAAACTGACTTGAGACTATAGATTCCCTCAACACCGTTCGACATGTTCACCAGGTAGTACTTCATGGACCACGCCCATAATCAAATACGTCTGTTGTCAGCCAGCAACCTCGAGGCTCCGCAGTACCTTTCACTTTTCTATCCATAATACAAAATCTATAACTTCCTATGTCCTAGTCTCTTGTGTGCCAACACCCAAATGCAGCGGTTATGCTTGTTTTGAATAGGCTCACTGTATGACAAAGTTGCGAAAACATGGCCAAACTACTTGTGTAGAATGAAAGGAGACCACAGCTATACGAAAAGCCACAAAATCGTGGTCTCTATACCTATGCTCTACGATAATTCACCATGCACAAAAACAAGAAATTTATCCATCACATGACGGACAAAAGCTCAGCAAAAATTCTTCGGAGCAGTGATCCGATGGCACATGTACACGAATCTACAATCATAGCTCCAAGGCAACCCCTCTCCGACTTCTGATAGGATCAAATTACGAATCTCTTGCACTCGCCTCTTCAAACGGAATGCAAGTTACTGCAACATGAAAAATGTGGCCCTAGCTGGGGCAAAGAAAAAGAAAAGATTGGCTGAATCACCTCCTTTCTCTAGGCAACTCAAAAACTTTTATTTCAAAGTTCATCTTATGTAATCATCTGATTGAGTAGGTCTCCAAATTATCCGTAAATTTTGAATAAGATTTCTAGATGCCTTAGGTCGCATGAGGTTATGAAGGACTATTAATTCAGGTTTCCCCCAATCATATGACCAGGTCTCACGTTCCTATGCAAAAACATTTGGTCCTGTTTAAATCCGGGCACGACTGTACTGCACTGCTGACCTTGCCTCGACTGGTCTCATCAGTAGCCTCAATTGGGCTCGAATTCATATGAATTTAGGAAAATTCAATTATCCGTCATTTTGTCATCACTTATAGGGTGACTGTAATTCTTAATCAAGATTTACTAGCAGTCTGACAACCTACTCAACCAGAATAGAAATAATGCAATTGATTGTAGTAGCAAAGATAAATTTGCCTCATCGACAATCCCACAACAAAAATTCGATATGGAAGAGCCTGGCCTCCCTTAAAGTTCTCGTTTGCACTATGACCCACTGGACCCGTGATAGTGTGCTGTGGTGGTAACATGTCAAGATTATACGTTGCACCACAAAAACTAGGGTTCGGCCAGTCCAGGCGAGGTCGAAACTTCAGTCCAATCCATTCATTTGAGAAGCAAGACTAGAAGAAGTGGCTGTTGGAAAATTCAACTACCAGTCGTTCATCACATTATGTGAACTAGAGTGTGTGAATCTCTTGTTCTTACTTAACTTCTTTTATGCATTTGGAGCGTAGATAAGACGATTTCGCTTTGGTCACTGTATTTAGATGACATGACCTCGTTTTAAAAGTTGGTCGGGATGGCACGGGGAACTCGTAGAGAGTACTCAGTGAACATTGGTAGCATCTTGTTCATAACAGGTTAAAATTTTTTTATCTTCAATAAGTGTGGCAGCTCTCATTCGCTCTTCATCTTAGACTACCAAGGCTAGATCCTCATCACTCAATCCTATGCTCCATATCTGTGTGCTCCCCTTAAAATAAGGTTAACGAGGCGTAGATACGAAGACCACGATGTTGTAGTCCCCTTTCGCTGCATTTAAGTGGTTTTACCACGTTTTGGCAACCTGGTCGTATTGTCAGGGCGAACTAGTTGGACGCAACTTGTGCAAAGTCCTGTTGGCAAGGCGTAATCACCTTCTTTACCAGTTTCGCAGCATACCTGTAGGGCTTCCTGATCCCAACTCGTTTTTCATTCAAAGGTCACTTCTCCAAACCCCTGTCAGCTGTTGCTTCGTATCTTATCCAACTTGATAGCAAGAATCCGTCTAACCCAGCCAACATATGTGTCATACTTAAGGATCTATTTATATAACTGGCCACAAAAGTATGATTGAATGTGTATGCAAGCCTTCCAAGGACGGCTCTCCAAAAACGTGATTAATCCTTTTGTTTACTTATCTCTACTTCTGACATTCAATGCTTTGCATAATCTGTAGATTTCGATGGTAAGCAAGGATGAAAGAGTGCATTTTTTCGACTTGCTAGCCTAAAGAAATTATAAGGAATGCCATCCTGTGCTGATTAAACCTGTCAAATTGCGGACAAGAAAATTAGGCACATCTTAACCGGAGTCGAAGGAGATTGCCTTGTAGACAGCATCATCCAGAATTCTCCAACAAATCCAAACAAAACAGCTGGTCAAGAGAAATCTGCCGTCCTCTTTTACTGGAATCCACCTTTTAATCTCTCCATCACACACTTTCACTTGAAATGGTTCCGAACATCGCCAGCCTTAGTTGTACCCTGACATATTTGTCGAAATTGTCAAGAGATGTTCGCTGTTCATGGGCTGCATCATTTCATAAAGTGATGGAAAGCTGCAGCGTTGAGAGAAATTGCAACTCTCATTGCCGGAAAAAGTGGTCGTTACAACGCATGAATCATTATCGAGTGGGATTTATTTTGGGAAGACAAAAGTGGGGGTATTTGAGTTCCGGCGCGGGGTTTAGGGAGCGACTTACTGAAAAGGATCTGCCCCGGTCGGCGACAAAAATCCAATGTAGAAGAGATATTGTCGGATGAAGGGTTCTCGACGGGGTACAAAATGGGTTACTGGCATCAAAAAGACTGCTACGATGCAGTGCAGAACCGACGGATGCACCTCGGGTAGGAAGAGTGCTTCATGAAGGAGTGGACAACAAGCAATATAAAAAAAATAAAAATAGCCTAGATCGATGGAACAGAAGTTTTCACTGTATCTACATGAGGCAAAATATGCAATAAAGAGAAACAAGAAGAAATTAAACATTACATGTCTAGAATACTTAAAAAAAACGCCTAAAACCGGACAGACCCAACCATCGCGCAAGTCCACAAGGGAACATCAAACAAGTATTACTCAGTAATCTCCCCACTTTCGGCGCCTGGAAGGTGGCTTTCCAAGGTCCTACTGGGCATAAGAAGACTTCATCTTAAATCCAATACTCAGTGGGGATTTCGACCGGATCACCAAGCTCTGGGAATATTTGATGTTTACGAGTAACTACATGAAATATTAAATGAGAGTGTTTCAGAGTTATTAGTAATTCTTAAATAAATAATTTCATCAATCTAGGCCGCTCAAGGACTGATAATG